TAGAAAACGTCCAATTAGACAGTTTTGAACTTTATATCTCTTAAGTATTACTGTTTTTCTGCTAATTACGAATGCTCGTTAAATACAAAATAAAATACCACGTAACAGACCCGCTCACGCGCCGGTGCGCACAATGATTCCAGTGCTCTCTAACGTTCTGGATACGACCAACCATACCATTTGCCACATTGTGCTGTCTAGAAAGGACCGCAACGATGGTGGTGGCTTTGCGATGAACACATTTTGCTATCGGCTAGAGAAACAATAACCGCTGCGACTGCTTATCACTGTCATGAACCGGTGCGAGGGAAGCGTATCTTTCGTACGCGGAACGTTACGGAGGACTAGAATCATTGTGCGCACTGGCGCGAGAGCGGTTTTGCCACGTGGTGTTTTTTGTGTTTGTGGGCATTTGCAATTAGCAGAAAAACACTAATACTTAACAGATATAATTGTCTAAACTGTCTAATCTAATTGTACGTTTTGTAAACCGATCTACAACTTTCTCGTGAAATTTTTTTATTCATCTTCATTTACTCAAAAGTTGGTTAAACAGATCAAATTTAAACAGTATCTTAGAACATTAAAAATATTCTAACTCTAGGCAACGGTGAGCAACATATGCATTTGGTCACAACCTAATTGCGTGTGTCGGCATAGTTTTAAACTCTGGCTAAAGTTACTTCGGACACCCTGTATATAGTTCTTTGTGTTACCATAAGGCAATAACATTAATGGTCAGTGAGACCAATTTATTATGTAGACTGCATTGGTTTCAGTGCGCTATTTAGAATAAAGGCAGATTTCAAATTTCGAGTGTCCTACTTTTTGCAATTTTCATTCTGCTTCATTATAGCTTGAAGCACTCACAACCCGAGTTTAAAGTGTCGCGATCAAGTACTATAAAGTTCGAAGAATAGATATCACCACGATTGCATCCAATCCTAAGTGTTCATATTGTACTTAATGTCCCTACTTTAGTTCTACTTATGCAACATGAGTTTTTGTGGTACTTACGCTGACATACTTGCTGACACTGCAGCTCACTCGAAAATTTATTGGCACTTGCTGAACCCAAGGTGTAGTTGAATTGTCTACAGCAAGAGCATTTAACTTCAAAATACCAGCCCAGTAGGAATGGACTAGAGCTAACAAGCACTGGTGGTATTAGGCAGAAAATCTGCGCTAGTCCAACGGGATCTGAAAATATGGTGAAGTTGGATTATCGTACATGAGAACAGCTTCAACATTACAATAACCCCTAATGATGTCAATAACTGTGGTTTCTTTGTTTGCCGCACGTAAGACATGTAAATAATGGTGATTTCAATTAATTTCGGCACACTGTCTTGCGAAAGCCAAATAAAGTTGCGAATGGTTTGGTTGTTGTGCTCCGCTCCTCCAAGTTTTTCTTCTTCTTTTCTATCTCTTTTCTTTCTATTATTCTCCCTTTCCCCCACCCCAAGTGTAGGGTAGCGAACTTAGCCAAGCTTGGTTAACCTCCCTGCCTTTACTCTCTATTTATCTCTCTCTCTCTCTCTCTCTCTCTCTCTCTCTTTCTCTCTTTTATTAAGAAGAGTGACCTGTTTTTAGTGGGCAACGTTTATCTTGCTTTTACTTACATTACTTTTTTTATCATGCCCATGCGTACAGAACAGATTTTTGAGCGTACTCTATCACACTGATATTATTTTAAGTGCGGCTGTGGAGAGCCATAAACGAGAGAATATTTTTGCCCCAAATCGTCCTGACTCTGGATGCACCCACGGCAGCAGCACTTATATATTCTAGTCTTTTGGTGAACATTGGTCAGAGAGAAATGGCAATTACTTAGAACACACATTTTTGCGTTTAACCATCAACCCTTTATGGCCTTTTGCGCCATGTCGTTGAATTTATAATTGGCTTACGCTGTCTCTACTTTGTCCCTTTCTTGTAGCCTATGATACATGGAGTTTAACGTGTCAAAACCACCATACGATTATGAGAGACGCCGTCCTGTAGCCTAGCAATAATTGTTCGCTGTTCTCTGTTATTTTTTAAACTGATGTGCGTTTCTGTAATCAATTATTTGCGCGTTTACAGCATTCATGTCATTCTGCTGCTGCTTATTATGTTTACAGTGTCGTAGCTACTGTCGATGGGGAGGTGGCGGAGCAAAAAGAGAAATAGTAAACAGGCGTGCATCCAACCTGGAACCCTACATCGAATGAACTAAATAACTAAATTATCTTTTAAGAGGGCCTGGAAGAAGGCACTATTTGTGCACTTTCTACTATGAGCCTGAAGATCACCACGGCTGGTTTTAGCCAGTAGAGTCAACCATGAATCATTGGGGAAGTGAAAATAGGCTGCAAAAATAATCAAACACACTTGAGAAAGTAATCAAATTACAAGAATATAAAGCTAATAAACTGGCTAATGCCATCACTTCTTAAACCTAGCGTTATGCGAAAAGTGCTACTGCAATGAAAAAATCAGCGCTGGCACTGGCTATATAAACATATGCAGCTCTGAACATGCATGTATGCGCGTGTAATGTTTGTACAAATACACATCATTAGTATTTCATAACATTTCGCTCAACAAAATTATTACAACACAGTCGCCTTCTTTCCGCATGTTTTGCATGCTACTGATTCCTAGGGTGCGTTGACAGCGAATTTGTTTCATTGACAGCTAATAACAGAGGCGGTTTGCAGTGACTTAAGCACTACTGGTGTTTTTGCTTAAGATGTCATAAGGCTGCCACACCAATCAATAATTACTCGAACTTCACTAAAATAAATAACCTGTGCCTATAACTTTTAAATACACTTGATTATGACTTAGCAGACAAAAATAGGAAGAGACATAACCATCCAGATCGAGAGCAAGTTGACAGCACCCAGTGAGAGCACGTAAAGATTTTTTTTTTAATGCGAAGCATTTCTAAGCGAACTTCGGCGACTTTGAGCGTATCTATCTATCTATCTATCTATCTATCTATCTATCTATCTATCTATCTATCTATCTATCTATCTATCTATCTATCTATCTATCTATCTATATATATATCTATCTATCTATCTATCCGCTTACGACTTTTAGTTCTCCGGGCCGTTTCGACCATGGTATCGATACCAAACTTGGTATCGCATAACTTGACTGTATGAAGAACATATCTCACTAGTAATAACATGAAAATCACATTTTTTTGTATTTTCTCTCTCTCTTCACAACATTTCTTTTTAACATCTTTTATTCCCCTCACCCCTTTCCCCAGCACAGGGTAGCCAGCCGGCCCAAGAACTGGCTAACCTCCCTGTCTTTCCGCTTAAACTTTCTTCCTCCTCCTCCTCCTCATGACATGTATGTCATGAATGCCATGATTTACATTTCATGATCCTGCAGCTCTTGCAGTGGTTTCGTTCACATGGCGTGTCGCAAAACTGGTATGGTATGACATGATTGCATGGCAAACACAAGCGGCATCCCCTTACAGAAAATCATGACATGCGTGGCATGGAACCATGTTGTTACATGTAACAACATGACTCCATGCCACGCTCATGATGTGCTCGCGGCCGTCTGGCACATATTCTAAATTTGATATTATGGTACGTAAATGCATGACGAAGGTATGTGAGTAGTGCAAACATGATAATCATCAGATGCGTGTCAGGTAAGACCATGACTGCATGCCATGATTATGATGCACTGGCAGCCGTTTGGCTAGCTTCATAAGTACCAAACTCGGCAGTATTGGACGCCAACGGACGACATAGGTGAATGACACATACAAACATGATAATCACGAAATGCGTGTCATGTAACAACTTGACTACATGCCACACTTATAATGCGCTCGTGGCCGCTTCGCTAGAATCACATGTGCTAAATTTGGTATTGCGTGACGCCAATGAATGACGAAGGTATGTGACTGGTGAAAACATGATAATCTTGAGATGCCTGTCATTTCAGAACATGACTACATGCCACCGTCAAGGCGCCAATACATTTAGACGTAACGCGCTGCACGTGCTCGCCCGCGTTCATTTCGTCGAGTCACACCGGCGTTGCCACGCCATGCGCCGGTCCTGCCACATAACCGCAGGTGTGCGCCGCGCTGCGTTGCTTTGACGCATTCGCGTTTCAGCGCGTCTACCGTCCCTCCGTCACGAAAAGAGGGAGACGCGGTGCTGTCTGTGGAAGGCATCGGCGCGAAATGCAGCATGTCGCATTTCGGGCCAGTTGCCACTGGGCTGCACCGAATGACGCTGGTCGCGCCTGGCGTCAGACTCTATGGTGATCGCGTTATGCTAACGCAGCGTCGTTGTGCCCAGCGTGCGCACTCATCAACGCTACACTGGAGTACATTGGGCCCTTCATTATAAGCTCGCGACCGTTTTGCTAGTTTCACATATACCAAACTTGGTGTTACGTGACGTCAATGGATGAGGAAATATGTGACTGGTGCAATTTGGATATTCCTGACACGCGTGTCATGTAAGAACTCGACGACATACCACGGCGTGCTCACGGGCGTTTCGCTAGCTCCACATAAAATAAATTTGATATCATGTGACGTGAATAGATAACGAAGGTAAACGACACATCCAAACTTGATAACCATGACAGGGAAGTCATGTACGGCATTACTTACCTCCACCTCGTGACGTTGTGCTGATTTTAAAGTAACATATCAACATTTCTCATTCGTACTTCGCGTATCATCGATTCTCACTGTACGTGGGATCTGCCAATTTTTTTTCTTTTCACACTGAAAGTTTTAATTATAAAATACAAAATATTTGGAGAAATGCACTTGAAAGATTTTTCGTCACAAACATGGGCAAAAAGCTTAGTTGAACTCGTCCACATCCTTACTTCACATTAGCCTCATGAATGCATTTCTTATTTGTAATATTTCTAATAGATACGTATTTCATCAGTAATAAGTTGGTATATTTAATTTATACTCACTACTACATGCTTGTAAGCAGTGTGCTTCCTTCCCAAAAAGGTTTTTGCCACTGCCACAAAGTGATGGGTTCACTTTCGTGCAGCTCCTCTTGTTATGGTCATAATACCAAGCTTCGAGCAGTGGATTGCAGTATCCGAGAACAGGTGGTTTCAAACAGGTGCTCGGCGTTGGTAGGTGGGTAGCTGAAAACATTGCACGGCAGTCTTATTTAGCTGCTCAAAATGCAGCTAATCTTTTTGAGGGAAGAAGATGCAAGGAAAGTAATAAAAGTTAGAGAGATCAGTTTTGGTACCCTTTATTTGGGAAAGAAAAGGGGAAAAAAAGAGACACACATGAAAAAAAGTGACGAACAGAATCATGGGCACAATTGAGGAAGCACGTCTGCTTTGTGGGCAGCTATCGAGATCTGTTATTTTTTGCAAATTCAGCAGTGCTTTAGTTGCCTTCTGCCACTTTGAGCGTATGCCCATGGTTCTTGAATTGTGTTTTGAGAAAATGGCTCGGCGTCCAAATGGTCGAAAGACATCCGGAGAGGGCATCTCGGGGCGTCATATCAAGAGCACCAGCACAGAGACGTATTCAAATGTATTTTCGCTACACATGAGCCATTTGTGAAGGTGTATGTCATACCAATAAGAAACAAATTTGCCTCTGAAAATGCAACACTCAAGCAAAGGCTGAATAACAGCATTGCATCGAGTCGAAGCTTCGCGATGGTAGCTGTAACTCGAGTGACGAAGAAGGTAGAAAGGTTCTGTAAGTGATTGGCTGAATAATAGCAGAAATGTCATGATTATGCTTATATTGTAGCAATGTTTGTGCTGAAAGTTGATTCTGCTGAAGCATTGGCAAAATTATTCTTCAAAATCAGTAATATGCATGCCACGTTTTTCACTGTTTTTTGTAACAGTGCGTATAAGCTTTTCTTGATGATTTTCTTTGTGTAGTATGTATTTTAAACAAAATGCATCAAATAAACAAATTATTCGATTATTACATCGAGCACCAATATCACAAATACTCTCAAGCAAAGTAAAATGAAGTGCAGATGAAGAACCACCACTTTACCTGCATTTTCTCAGTGCTCCTTCCGCAGCTGCTCCACAGTTTGCGCTAGCGGAACATCCCTGTTAACCAGCATTGCCCCGCGCGGTGATATAACATTCTTGCAGCTAGTCTGACTGCCACCAATGTCTTCGTCGCTTTTTCTTACCCTAAGTTGTTTAGCAGTGATGCTGCTTCAAATAATAAGCACCATTTGTAGTTGGAGAACTCGACAACACTTTGAAGCAGTCTTTTATTTGATAGCACCTACCTTCCACAGCGTAGCTCTATGAACTGGAGCCCAATTGGCTGTCGAGATCATCAGCTTTAATCATGCTTGCGCGTGCCCTCGCTCTAGTGCGATTCATATTTTATATTCATATCAGCTTCTCAAGAAACAGATGAGAATTTGTAGAAGTATGCTCCGTTTATTTACCTGGACGCTACGTGCCTACGCGTACTTTGAGAAGACGCTGTTACGCTCGATAAATGAATGCTGATGGGGTGCAAGCTTATGCTGCTGAGGATGCACGGCATTGTAGAGTGGAAAATGTACCTGAACAACAGAAAGTGACGACTACCACAGAAAATAAAAACGACAATTACACCACTCGATGATGTCGGTCCTGAAGAACCTCTTTTCAATAGCAGTGAAGTGAGTCGTTGAATACGCTAAGAACCGTTACAGAGATCAGACAAGTCTGATGGAATATGTAGCAGAGCTTTCACTGTTCCTATTACTGTGCCAGTGGCGTAGGCAGATATACCTTTCAGGGGAGAGGACAAGGAACGATAATACCAAGTGAAACTCCCGGGGCCAAATGTGGTAGAGTGTCATTTCGTGCTGTGTCCCACGGCAGGAAAAGAAAAAAAACGCCAGGCCTGCGCGGAAAGCGCAGCACAGTCACAGCGAAAGCTGGAAGAGCGGCCTTTCATAGCCTTTTAGAAACACTCATTAGGTAACTACTGCAAGCAAACTCGCTTGATACCACTAGGTCATTAATAATAAATTCATTTTGGTAGTAGGCTGGCATTTGCTATGCTATTTTTCGTCGTTCTTCTGAGAAGCGTAGTATCCGCAGAACACTTGCAAGGAATTTCGCACCAATTCTTCATGCAGTGGCTGACGAAGATAAGGAATTATGGCTGAAGTGGGTATGCACCACAGTTAATAGGGAAACAAGAACAAGCTTTTGCGATGGGTTGGATCATTGGACGGCCCACTCGTTATGCTATTCGCATTGTGCAACCACTGGTTTTTCTTTCACCATTTTAAAACGCTTTATAAGTCGTGTCAACTCGATTGCTTTCCCGACATCAAGCCAGTCTAAGGCAAGTTTGACAGCAAGTCAGAAGCACTGGTAGGATACTTGGCTGGCATCCAGTGAACCCGGGTTCGAGCTCCACTGTGTCATTGGTGCTAGATCAAGCGAGTCTAAGGCAAATTTGACAAAAAGTTACAAGCACCAGCGCAGTGGCAGAATGCTGGGATGGCACCCAGCGGAACCTTATTTGAGCCCCACTGCGTAATTGGTGGTAGGTTTTTTTTTTTCTTTTAATTTCGCCCCATGTAGTTATAAACATCGGCGGTGGTGGCGGCGGTGGACAACTGCACATCACCCGAGTTGTGATATCATAGTAGCTTTCGCTGTAAAGTAGGAAGGGCACGTTCCCAGTGTGCCAACTCCTGGTAACGCCACTGGAGCATGCGAGTACAAAACACTATAATCAATAAAGAAGCATGTGGTCGCTTTATGCTGAAATTTCGCATGTTGATGCTTAGCTTCCAATAAGCAGAGAAAATCCCCACAGAATATCGCTACCAGATTCTTCGAAGGAAATCTATATAAATGCATGAGCCACTTTTTAATCAAAGGCATTAGTTACTTTGCAGACTTCGGAGAAATATATTCAATGGCTTGGAGGCGGGGCATTTTTACAGGCTGGTTTGTCATGATAACATATACTGTGGAGCAAGTGGGGCACAACTGTATTAAAGAGGGCGGGATACCGTGCTAAGCATTTCTGATAACAGAGTTATTCACAGACATAGTGTTAAAAGTGCGAACATGAGGTCCACATAATGGGACCACACTCGTACATGTGAAGATGTCTGCGGTGAACTACGACATAGCCATGCGATGGGAAAGATATATGCAGCGCTGCCCACACACCAGGAAAATTTCATAGTGAGCAGTGGTGCTTGTGTTTTAAATCTGGTTTTCAATGTTTTTACCACCTCGGAAAGCTGGTGACCAAAAAAAAAAACTACCACACATGTCGAAAGCAAACACACATCGAAGCTCTGTGCAAAGCTCTACTTTCCTTTCACGCTGCACTCACCCAAAGGTATATTTCTGTTTACTGTAAACTTCGCAATAAACACACAACCTTTTTGCACATAACTGTACTTTTGCGAGCACTATTGATTCAGTTATGTTAACATTTTTGTAAGTTTGGAGCACTTTAAGAGGCTAGGCTGTCGTATGATGTCACCGTGACTTGGCGTAACACAGGTGTAAGCATATATAGCATAGAGATTTAAGCACGTGGTCGCACTAAAGTGTAGCCTTCCTAATCTTTTTCGATGGCCTTGGTAACATTAATAACGCTGTCAAAAGATATGGCGTTGCCTTCTGTAGCGTAATGATCGTGCCCTCACGCCGAAAAGAAATTTTTAACTCTTAATCTGCGAACGCCTTTACAATAATATTAGTGCTTAGAGCTTTAAATAAAACCACGTATAAGCATCGAAAAAAATAGGGAGCTGGCGATAAATATGAATAAAAACAAAATATTTAAAACAATAGAAATAAAAAATAAGTATCATTTTACACAAAGACGTCAAGCCGTGACTGTGTGGCTTTTTTTCTCTCCTCTTCAGACATGTATTTTTTTGTATGCATGTCTGAATTAAAGACTTACACATAGAACTCCGCAAATGTTGGAAAATAAAACACAACGAACGAACGAACAAAGGAACGATCGAATGAATGAATGAATGAATGAATGAATGAATGAATGAATGTACACCTTCGTTTGTTTCTTCTTAAATAGAAAATATCCATAAGACAGAGGGTGGTGTGCAGGAACCACTTGAAATAGTCCTCCTCTACTTTCTCAGCCCACGCCAGGATGGCCTCCTGAATGTCGGATTTCGAGCTGCGCAAGGCAGCTCAGAAAGAGAGGGATAAAGAAAATAACAACAAAATAGAAGTAAAAAAAGCCAGCAGCTGCGTACTTCAATAAGGCTTGTCACCGACAGTGCCGAGCACCTTGTTGAGTTTCTTCTGATCTCTCCCAGGAGACATTACGTACGACTGTCGAATTGAAGCAGCATTTGCTACTTTGTTATCACTGATAAGGCTAATACTGTCTACGTTTGCTACTGTTTAACGTGGCTCTGTATCCCAAGTTTATCAAAGTTAATTATTAGAGTGCTCTACTATTCCCCTTTTTAACACTAATTATTCTTCAATGCACTGCACCTGAGTGGTAGTTGATCTACAACGGCTGAATAGTTGTGAGGTTTTATTTGTTGTTCAGCTTGAACGTTTTACATAAAAGGAGTTTTGTTACTAAGCCGCCATTTCATTTTTTTTCTGCCAATATCACTTTCTTAGAAGGGTATCTTTTTCCAGCAAGTATTTTTCAATATATTCCCTATTGGTTGTACACATGAATTCCAATGTTTAATGAATTCAACATACGTTTTTTTGTCCTGCAGTTCTTGAAACAGTTCCATCCTGCAATGAAAAGAAAATGTGTTAATAGCGTTAATGTATCACATATAAAATATTAACCTCAGCTCTTACTAACAAAACTAGCGTGGGGTTTGTAGGCTCTCCGTAGGGGAATATCTAAATTATATTTTATAAGCTGAAACCAATCGCATGAAGCTTGACTTAATTTTCCTTGTTTCATCGCCGAAATGAAGCTTTTGATGCAGAAACTGCGCAACTAACTCGTGTTCGCCAATGTGACGTGATATCCGCAGAGCAAGCCCAATTGGTGCAATATGTCATGGCCGAAAACTGTTGATATTTCTCAACAAATAACTTTATTAGCCTTTCGAATGATAGTTTTAGTTGTGTATATTACTACGTACATCATTTGTTTGGTAACGTATTCTAGATATTTATCAAATACATATGAACACGATTGTGTCACTAAGTAACTGGTGCACTTTATTGAAATTTCTTATTGTCCCTAAAGAAAGCAAAATGCTGACGTATCTGCTATTCTATTTGTTTTGCAATATATTGAAGCAGTAACTTTATTACGGCAATAAAAAACGCACCAGGACTACAGTGCATAGAAAACACCCGAGACTTTGCATACTAAAGAAAGAAAAAAAAAACATGATTTCAGAATACATAGAGATAGAAAACTTCGTTCTTCCTTCAGACAGGATGTGAAAATACAAAATATTTAACATTAAAACTTGTAGACATGACGTGATATAACAAATATGTTCTGTAACGTGGCATCGAGAACACTTATATATCATGATTTATTCAACGTTTTCAACGAATCGTACTCGTTACGCAAGATACAATGTTTTTAAGCAGGTGTTTAAAACGGTGTTTAAAACGGTGTTTAAGCAGGTTTCAGGCAGTTGTTGCTGGTGTGTGTAAGCACCTACGTAATGTTTTTATTCTAATGTCGCTGGTAAAAAATGGCGATGGGCTGTCGTATGCTTGCGCCATCGTTAGAGTTTGATTGTCACTGATGCTTATTGTTGAAAATTCGGGCCTATCCGGACATTTTATAATCTGTCGTGTATTGCTAAGACCGTTGCAATGTCTGGATACTTCGTTCTTTTACGTAATTCTTTTCACCACTGCCACGGTGTCCGAAGTCAAACAACGCAACCTTATTGAAACTTGCGTCGATCGTTAAATTCGAATGCATTGTGAAAATTTGGGGGAATATTCTTTTGAAGAAATTTACCTCTCAGTTAATGGCCGGTTCAATCAGCGTGCCCATTCAGAACGCGCGAACACCTTCGTCAGGGCAACGAACATGTGGCCGGCAGAACTAAATTCTCCGTAAAAATTACTCATCGAATGTTAATGAAGTGCAGTACTGCGCATCATAGAGAATTTCATCCCCACGATAAATAAAGAGCACACTATGGAACATTAAGTTCCTCATTCTGATATTTTGTGAAGCTGGCAAAAGCTTGTACAGTGAGAAAGTGAAAGGCACCGAAAATAAAAACAAAGTGTAAAAGTTTATTTAATACACTTCATTAGTGCAGGCACTTCACACAAGAGTACTAACGATATTTCAGTGCACTCATAATTTGCACATGCCTCCATCGCACTGTAGAGCATACAGCTTAGTATGCTGCATAATCAAGGCCAAATGATTGCAATACTGAGTTTCGCCCTCTCCTGCTAAGACAACTGTATTTGCCAAGGAATTTTTCTCGGCACGATATATTGACGGTCAATATACTTCACTTCTTTTTTATCACTCCATAATTGAATCACTGCTTTACGAGGGCGAAACTTCGGAATGGTCTGCGAAAATGTAGGGAGAACTTGATGTAGGTTCCAATTGACGAAGAAAAATTATTATTAAGTAAGCTCAGACACTCATCACCACGCAGATTGTGCGCTGGCGATATGTGTGAACGTGCGCACAACAGTAGTGTGTCTACAGAGTAGTGAATACGGCTACTGTAACATGGGGTCCGCGACGACAAGTGCTAAGTCATATGCACCAAATGACACGTGACGCACCCTCAAGCTCGAGAGCTTCAATGTTTGGCAGCCACACTGGCTATTAACAGATGGCGCTACAGTTTGCGAGCTACTGTTTATCTCGTTAACACCTAATGGTTCTATCGCGCGCAAGCAGAATAAATAAATTTATGGTAAATTCTGCACACTTTAGGGGCACATACGTTAATATTTTAGGCGATCGCGATTAAGCGTAAGAAAACACCACACCTGTTCATCGGGAGATAACGTAAGGCATGTTTCTAGCATTCGCACCTGCGCCTAGCCTATTTACAGCTTTTCATTTTCTGAATGCTCTATTATAAGCTCAAAAAGGGTATTCAACTGTCTGGGGTGATATATTATCATGGCCCTGCAGTTGCTAGTTCTCCTATTGCGTCAGCCTCGTAGTGTTTTTGTTTTGCAGTACGTATTCCATTTGCTTGCTTGAGCTTCAAAACTGCGTACAGTAGAGCAGTGTAAGGCTTGACGCTGCTACTAAATATTTTTGACCGGCAAAGAAATGCTACCCTAGTGCTCAACAATCACGTGCGGAGGTTAGTGGATGTAAAAGAACGTACCATGAGCCTGCAGAGTGCAGATAAGTATCAACATGCAGCTTTTAACCTTCATACTAAGATCTCAGCTTCCACACAGCAATATAATTCTCTTACAGTGACACCACGCAGCCTTATAAATAAGCTTTGTTGTATTGTTCTGAAACAGCACTTTATATTTTTGACGTCAAAGCTTGTCTTCAAAATTTGATCGGGCATTCTTGTTTTTAAAAGTTCTTTATCTTCTACCGCGCAGAAAGTATGAACAAAAGTTTCGAGCAGTTTGCGCTGTTAGTGTGGCATGGTGAAAGACTACAAAGAACAGAAATATTCAATACATAATTTGTTGCCAGACTAGTTGATAACGAATTGCAGTACTGCAAAATCACGCTAATTGAGATTTCATGCTACTGAAAAAAATGCTCGAATTGGCCGAATGCAGTTTTTTCATCAGTATCCACAAAACAATAAATAAATGTCTGTTAAATAAATATACATTTGTATTCTCGATGAACATGTAAATTCTTTACTTTATTGCATGAGAACAAAGCAAAAGACAATTCCAAACACCCTGCTGTCTCATTCTCAATATGACCATGGCGCCAAACTGCCATGCCTAATTAGCTCGAAACGTGTTCTGCACCCTTCACTTATTAGGTGCCGACACCTATGTGTGACGATGGGTATTTTGCAAGTAAGTTTGCTCGCTACTGATCGTTTGTTCTTGAAGATGTTGTAAACAACTTTTATGCCAGCGAGGTACCGTGGCTGAAAGCTCGTCATCTTCAACAGCTTGCGCGATGTTCGAGTTTCGTGGCAGCGCGCGCACATTGAAGTGAAAACGAAGCCGCACGATGCCGGATCCACGTGCCAAGCAAACCGTGGTAATAAATGAATGAAAATACTGGAGTGGACATATATGCATCGTTCCAGATGCCTGAGAACGCTAGCTGCTTTACTTTTTTTCTTTTTTGCGGCGCTATAAGCGCTTGGTCCGCTTCAGTCGTGGCCCGAATTCTGTGTTGGGGCCAAATTAATGCAAATTAACCACACTATGATGCTCTTAAACAAATTCATTGGCGCACGTGACCGAGAAAAATGTTAAATAAATTAATTTGTCGAATTAAGCTCGGTGGTACTAACGATTGTTTCCCGTTGTACACTGCTAAGACCAACTTCTCGCTTACATTTGCGCACAACGTGGTGCACACACACGTGATATGGGTTTCTACGTAGCTTTAAAAGTGGGTTGCTTTGCGCGCCCCAATTATTGTACTAAATATTTCGGCTCTGTTTGCCTTCATTACTACGTCTACATACTTAGTTCTTTGCAAAAACCGCAGCTCACTATGAAGAAGCCTGAAGGATCACCGTCCACACTGGTTAATATCCAATGAAAATGCATCATGTATGTTAGGTAGATCTCCATAATTTACACTCTATGACATGCTACATCTATCTTTCTCGCCCGCTTTTCTTAATCACCCAATTCATGGCTATGCTCAAAATACTCGAAAATCGTTCAGCACAAAATCTACTTTTCTTTACCTCGTTCCCAATCACAGGTCGGAGAACTTATTCATGAGTCGACTACCTGGGACTCACTCAGACTCCAATCAATCCGTGAAGCCTGAGTCTGTGTGATTTTGGTGAGTTTGAGTTCGACTGAGTCCGGTTGAGGAAAACTTTCTTGGGTGTAAGTCCAAGTGCGTCCATTTCAGCAATATTTTGGTGAGCCACAGTGCGAGTAAGTCGGAATCGCAAGAGTAACTTCTTGAGAGAGTCCGAGTGACTTCCACCTTTTTATGCCCACTTATAGTCCCATGTACTTCTCTTCAGCATTATTATTATACTTACCTTGATTCGCGTTTATGCTCACGTATACTCCCATGTAGTCCAAAGAAGTATCGTTGTACACCAACTAGATATTTATTATGCGTGAATTATGTAAAGGCATGCCATGACTGTACCCCCCCCCCCACACACACACGCACACACACAAATTTTCCTGAGAAAGTCCTCGTAGCTATAAACCCCATGTTGTCACCTTACGATCCCTTGATCCTACTTTAAGCTAACGGCCTCCAACAAAACTTCGACGAGGTGACCCTGCTGCTCTGTGCAGACCACGGTGCAAGATACAAACCAATTGTGTGTATCTTACACCGTGGTACAGACTATGGTTGGGAGTCGTGTTTACACGTGCGTACGCGTTCCGCTTATGGATGGCTGACACCACCACCTGTGCACACTGCGGAGTTGAAGAGACAATTAGACACGTCCTGTGTGACTGCCAGGAGTATATCCTAGAAAGACAACATCTTTCTAATACACTAAACAAGTTAGACGACCAGCCGCTGCCAGAAGAAAGTATACTGCGCCGTCGTCATGACTCATCATCACAGAAGAAGGCCGTGCAAGCGCTACCAGGCTTCTTGCTAACTACTGGCCCTCAGAATGCCTCTGAGTGGACTGATTTTTTCTGTGTCTTTCTTCTATTTGTTTTTTAACTCTCTCTCTCTCTCTCTTTCAACCCCATATTCCCCAACCCCAGTGTAGATCAGCTTACAGGATACAAGCATCTGGTTAAGCTTCCTGCCTTCCTTATCTTCTTGTCTCTCTCTCTCTCTCTCTCTATTTCAACAAGAGTGTCTTTAGGTTGGCCACCACTGCTAACCCATATCCGTAGCTAATACACTAAAAGGCGCCCAGAAGAGCACCGAGTACGTGAAGTATTGGTGTTAAAGAATAGTCTGAAAATCTATTTCTAGACAGACTCATTAGTTGAATCACTCGGTTTTGTTGAAGAAAACTTGTGTGATTACAAATTAGTCCGGCTCAGGAAAAGTTTCGTGAGTCGGAATTCAAGTGAGTCATGAGCGCAAAATACATTTCAAGAGTGAGTCTGAGTGAGCTCTACGAATTTCGCCTACCGATATTCCCAATAAACACCAAAGTATGCAAAACACCTTTTACTCCGTTGTTGCCAGTTTTCACTTGATATTGTCAGCGAAATATTGCTCCAGCCTATCATGTTATTTGCGAACACTAAAATATTGAGCGCTAAAAATTGAGCTCGAATAGGTGAGCCGTTAGAGATGGTGCTACTAACCACTGCTTATTTTTTCACACTCACTGAGTTTAAGTACACTGTCATAGTGTTGCGTATGCGCAATATTTTGTTGAAAATCTAAAGCACAAATGAAATAATTGTAACTGCGAAAACGTAGATGCGGTAACCCCTGCAGTATAACATGGTAAAAGTGACAGCTGTAGATGTGGAAGCGTGCCCTGCGTAAATTCAAATTCAGGCTTATGAAAAAAACATTGTGTTTAGTATATTGGCAGCATATGTCAGTGCACTATCTATCATAGTAGCACCAACGTTTTTTTATTGAAAATCATCTTAGATACACATTGCATCAAAATTCATACTGCGACCCCATGCAGCTAGCAATAATCCATTTTGTTCTCAGTTTAGAATTACAGCTTTTCTTTCTTTGGTCATGAGAAAGGCTACTAGTGCCAAAGGAGGACCAACTGTGAATGAAACTTGCTTGAAGACATTGTGCGATTCTTTATTATTAAGTGCCTAACTACTAAATAGTTTAGCACTTTACAATTTAGTTTGGCACTTCCTTTCTCTCTTGATACGGTATGACAGCAACACTCTGAAGTTATGTTAACTAGATGAATGCATTGAATTGAACTACCGTAAATACACATTCTAAAATACAAATCTTGCGTATATAAAGGCCAAATTATGCTGAAAATAAATATACATGAGCAATCGCAGCCTAGCATAAGACGAAAACGAAATAAATAAACTGACTTAGCTCAAATGTTCTTCAGTCATGGTTCGTAAAAATCACTAAAACTGTCTGAGTAATCGCAAGAAAAATCAGCTATCGCTTCATATATACAACAGAATAAAGCCTTAAAGGCACTGCCCATCTGTGTCTATGGTGGTGTAAGTTTCCGGAGTCGTACACTACGATGTCTCTCATAACAATTTCGAGGTTTTGTGGCACAAAACAACAGATTGTTACTGCCTTACGCACGCCTCGTAACCATGCCAGAATTATGGCTCAGGAACTCTGGAAGGGTCAATATTAAGGGTGTGTGAATATTAAGCTTCCAATTCAAGTCAAATATTACCTAATGAAATTATTCAATTCGATTTTCGAATAGCTAGTAGACCAAGCTTCGAATATTTCAACACTACGCATACATAAAATGCGACAAAGGTCAATCATCAAAGGCCATCGGGAACATTTGCTAGAGTGGGTGGACTATAACTATCGTGAACGTCCCTATGCAGTAGGCATCTCGGGAAAATGTTCACCCACCGAGGTTCAAAAGCAGGTGCACATTTATAATAAACACAATTGCGTCGTTTTCGCCCAATCAAAAAAGACACACGTAGATGAGAAAACTGTCAAGCCCTACAAAACTCATTTCCGAAAAGAAGGCACGCACTTCCTGCGTAGATCAGCCCGAGGGCGGGAACTTCTTATAGAAGATTTTGCGCAGCGGCGTACGGGCGCTGCTATGTTTATTCGCGTTACCATAACTGGCCTCCTCCCAGCCAGTTGCCCCAGACCCACACAACGAATTGAGCCAGTGAAGTGGCCTCGGCCGTAAGTGCCACTAGCAGGAGTTATAAGCCAACATGGCAGCACCCATGTAGGCGCCAGTGCCCGCTTTG